GGGGGGGTTTGGGGGGAATTTGGGAGAGATTTTGGGATCCTGGGGGGAATTTGAGGGGTCCTAGGAGGAGCTTGGGGGGTCCCAAGAGAGATTTTGGGGATCCTGGGGGGCCTTAGGGGGAATTTGGGGGGGTCCTGGGGGGGATTTTGGGGGGTCCCAGGGGGGATTTTGGGGACCCTGGGGTGGATTTGGGGGTCCCAGGAGAGTTTTGGGGGGTCCTGGGGGGTCCTAGAAGGGATTTGGGAAGGTCTGGGAGGGCTTTGGGGGGTCCTGGGGGACTTTTTGGGGTCCTGGGAGGGGTTTGGGGAGTCCCCGGGGGAATTTTGGGAATCCTGGGGGGAATTTGGGGAGTCCCAGAAGGGGTTTGGGGCATTTTGGGGGATTTTGGGGGGTCCCAGGAGAGAATTGAGGGATCCTGGGGGGAATTTGAGGGGTCCCAGGAGAGATTTTAGGGATCCTGGAGGGATTTGGGAGCAGGAAGAGGGAGAATGGGAATGGCAGGGATCAGGAATTGGGGGTCAGGACCCCCCCAAATCCCAAATTCCCAGGGATTGGAAGGAATTCCTGATGGAAGAGAATGAGGACAGAAAGAATTTAGGAGCGGGGACGGGGAAAACCGGGAATTGGAGAGTGGGAATGGGGAGAAACTGGGAATAAATGACCAGGAACGGGTGGAATGGGAATGGGAGAAGCAGGAATTGGGCTTCAGGACCCCCCCAAATCCCAAAATTCCCAGGAATGTGGGGGATTCCCTGTCGGAGGAGGATTGCCAGAGTATTTATCCCGTGGTTTTCGTGGCCAACCGGGCCCTGGCCTCGGCTGCCGGAACTTTCCTGTTCCACAGGTGAATTCCCGGGAATTCCTATCCCGTCTCCCCATTCCTGACCCCGGGAAGGCTCCAAAAACCCTTGGAATTCACACCCCAGACCCTCGGAATTCCCACCCCCAGGAATATCCCGTTTCTCTTCCCGCCATTCCCAACCTCAGGGATGCCCCAAACCCTCAGAATTCCCGCCCCAAATCCCTCAGAATTCCCACTTAAAACTCTTGGGAATTCCACTCCTAAATCCCTCAGAATTCCCCCCCCCAAACCCTTTGGAATTCCCATCCCAAACCCTTTGGAATTCCCACCCCAAACGCTTTAGAATTCCCCCCTCAGACCCCTCAGAATTCCCACCCCCAACCCCTCGGAATTCCCACTCCAAATCCTTTGGAATTCCCCTCTCAGACCCCTCAGAATTCCCACCCCAAACCCTTTGGAATTCCCACCCCAAACCCCT